TAAAAGGCACGCTGATATGTAAAAGTGCTGGTTACGTTGAAAATTTTGTTTAGGAAGCGAAAAAAAAATGTAAAGCATTTTATACATATTAAGCAATTTGTACAGGGAGAATGAAAATATTTGCGAAGTAATTTTTTAATTAGCGCTATTATTTAATTGGATAAAAGAAAAATGGCCAAGGCTCACTCGTAGAACGTGCTTTGTGAATGTGAATGTTTTCAAGACTGTTCAGTTTATTTGTTTTTTTTCTGTTTGATTTTTAATTATTATTAATTAATTAACCACGAAAGGTGTCAATTTATGAGTAAGCAATTTTGTCTCGGTCGTTATCGTAAAAATCGAAAAATATTTATATGCGTTTTTGAATTTCGGAGTATTATTTGTTATACTTCAATTTTTCGAATTGATAATTCGATGTTGTTGAAAATTGATATTATTGTAAATCATTTAATTAAGTATATTATAAATTGATACTATTAATAATTTTAAACAATAAGTGATTTACAATTTTAATGCTAAATTCAAAATTTTTTTCTTATTCTTCAGACACCTACGTAACAAAAAATGTTCAAAAACATATTTAAAAATTAAATAGCGGGCACCGTCCAAAGTTATCTTATTTCGCCCACACTTACGTTATACAAAAACAAAATTCAAATTTATCAATTATAATCACTTGTTTGAAATTTGTTCAAACAAACTGGAAAAATTTACTAATCATTCCGACGAATCAAAATATGTACTAAAATTAAATTTGTCTTATTTAAATAAAAGATGACATAGTTTTGATACATGATATACATAGAGCATCTCATTTTAAATCAGTCACTTTTTCAGTTGATCTCCTCCAAATTGTGTCAAAATTTTGTATGCTTAGGATCTATAAAGAACATATTTATGATATTTTATTTTTATTTTCACTTACAATCTATTTTTGAGGTACATTTTTTCAAAATTCGGGGGTTTTTTTTTGGCGCTTTTTTTCAAAAACAAAAATGTATGACCAAGTCCACATAGTAAAAAATTTGGCGTCATTGCGTCAAAAAATTTTGTGTTAAAAATTTTTATGTTAAATATTGAACATTTTTTTGTGTTGATGTAACACAATAAATGTTAAAACTACACTTAAAAGTGTTAAATATTTAACACTAAATTTTTTGACGCAACGACGCAAAATTTTTTACTGTGCAATAATTTTGAAAATGATTATCACCGCGTTTTTCATTGTTCTTAACATACTAAACAAATTTTGAGACAATTTGAACGGTATTACCTAAAAAAGAAACCGATTTGGCGTGTTATGTTCCATTTATATCTGTAATTACGGACAAAATAATCCATGTAAAAATATAAAGCACGTAAAATTTTGACAATGTATTACTCGAATTGCCAAATTGGTAGTTTAATTATTATTATTTAGAAATCTAGTGCGATGCAAGGACCTTCTCTAATTACTCGAATTAACAAATAGTTGAAGTAATAAATCGATTCATGATATTCAATTGACAAGTCCTCAATTAAAATATGTAATGCATAAATGGAATGAATAAATGTAAAACAATAGATTAATTATATCTACGTATTATATAAATGATTAAGGTTAAAATTGTAAATCGTCATTACCAGTGAGCTAGAATATTTTCGATAAAATAAAATGTTAAAAGCTTTTATGTTTGAAATTATAATATTTTACTAAAATATATTAATAGCAGAATTCCATTGACGGAATGCATAGAAAATTCAGTTGAAATTGTTTGTTATATTTTTCTTATTTACTGATATAAATATATATTATTGTTTATTTATGAACTGTTTAATTTACGTACATTTCGTAATTGTTTGTTTTTTTTTTTTTTTTTTTTATTATTTTGTTAATATGGAATGAAGTTGTGATGAACGAAAGGCAAATGAACAATGTAAAAATAATAATTAATTAATATAAATTAATTTTTAAATTAAGACATTGTAATTGTGACTATTGCTTGTTTTTATTATGTTTCTGTTCGAAAAAAAAATTATAGTAAGTTTGGGAGAATCAGTGATGGTATTTCGTGTACAGAATAAGTGATTTTAATTAATAATTAAATTACAATAATGTTTGGAGCGTGAATCGTTAGTTGATTATTATTAATATTACAGAATAATAAGTAAGGAAAAAAAATATACGTAAAAAAAACTCATCATTGGTAATTAAAATAATATTTAATAATTCATTTTTTACCATGTCACTGTTTTTATTACGATTATACGAAGCACTTTCATCGTTTCTTGCCAACATAATTTTTGTATAATAATTGTTTTTTTTTTGTTATATTATTAGGCAGCTGCTTCAACGGAAGTACATTATTTTTATTATTTAATAATTGAAAAAAAAAAAAAAAAGAAAATCGCTTTGGCAATATAAAAATGCTTGGCTTTTCTTTTGGCCGGATGCTAGCAATTTTTTAAATTTAATTATAGAAAAATTGTAATATAATTACATTTTATTTTAGATTTGTTTTGTATTAAATATTAAGCAGCTCAATAATATATTTGATTGTACATTTAATTGGCAATCTAAAAAATTCTTATTTAAATTATGTAAAACAATCGATAAAAAGTAATTTAATATCTTTTATAAATAATTGTCTATTATAACGGTCATTTTTTTCATTAAACTTTTGCAAATAAGCTATTCATAATATAATTAGCTCATCATCACATAAATACATAAATCATCAAATTTTCCTGTCCAATATAAATATTCGTCTTAAATGTTGTTACGCTGTATATCCAAAGCCAAACTCAAAGGCGAATTTTATAAATTTAATCCATAATTTTCGATGTAAATATTAACATTGCCCATTATTATTAATATTATTATTATTATTATTATTATTATTATTATTATTATTATTATAAATAATAGACATTACAGCGAAGTGAGAGATTATGAAGAGCGTATTTATACCTAATGGAAGCTCTCTTTTGCGAGTTAACAAAACATTTAAATGTATGTATAACATTTACTTTAAGCGATTCATAGTTGTTTTCCAATACCTACCTATACTTATTCATTAAAATGCAACTATTAAGAATAGATGTGGAAGGGAGATTTATTAAAATAATAATAATAATAAACGTAGAAGAAATAATTATAAATCTCATGGCCACTTATTATTAAAGTTTAGTATTACGATTAAAGAAAAAAAATGAAATGGGCTAAGATGTGCGAATTGATGATAAAATATAAATAACCCACTGGCAATTAATGTAAATGTATCCATTTTCCGAAACTTTATGTAGAATTATACTCATAAGCTATATCTATGATACACAAACGAAATAAAAACGTACATTAAATTATTTAATTGTTTATTATTTTCTTGCATTACATCATTTTTATTTTTTATGTATTATAATTTAGATTTATAAATAAGATAAAATATATGCACAGTAAAAAATTTTGCGTCATTGTGTCAAAAAATTTTGTGTTCAAAATTTAACACTTTTTGCGTTGATTGAAAAAAATTAGTGTTGAATTTACTCATAAAAGTGTTAAATATTTAACACATAAATTTTTATCACAAAATTTGTTGACGAAATTTTGACCTCGACCTACTATCGAGTCAAATAGAGTAGACTATTTTTTTCAAATGTGAGTAACTTATATTTAAAAAAATGCCATTCAAATATGACACATATAGATCGATAAATCAAAGTTTTATGTAACTCTATCCAAAATTGCTAATTCATAAAAAATTTTTGTCAAGAAATATAAACAATAAAAGATTTAAAAACGGAGTTTTTTAAGGGTCAAAATATAAGCATCAACTTTAGACTTCTGTAAAATCATAAATTCAAATTTTTTTTCCACGCTGAATTTTTTGGTGATTAGTTGAACCTTTTTAAACGCAATGATGAAAAAAAATATTTATTTTTTTCATAAATTATTATCATAATTTGTAATCAATGGTCACTCGCTATTTTTTGATCAAATAGAGATAGAAATTTGTTTTGAATTAGCATTTATAAAGGGTGAAATATAGGAATTACGTGCGAATTATGAAATTTGCGACTATCAAATTTTCTGATTTATTTAATTTTTTAAATTTGAGACAAGTGTTTATGGTCCCTATCGACTTTCGACCCTTTTGTAATTGATCCTTTTTCCATAGGCGTAGTTGCTCAAATATACCTGGAATATTATCTTTATATACTTCTTTCTTTCACACAGTAGGTACAAAAATGAATAGTAAGTTGAATCCACGAAATAGCCAGCCAAATTTTTAACAAAAAAAAAAAAATTTATAGAATATTACAGAAAAATTGATATTTTTTCTTAATTTATCAATAATATTAGAATATTTTTAAATAATTTTCATGAAGACTTTGGCATTATCTCTACAATTACTTAATGCATTTTTAATATCATAACCAATAACAATTTTTAGCCTATGTAAAATAAGAGAATAAGACACTTGTAACTATCTTTACTTTAGAAATTATACTACCTGAAAAATAAGTCTTATGTCGAAAAAATATTAAAATAATATCTGTAATTCGAAAATCCATGTTTATCTCTCATAAGCTTATCTTGAACCTGAGAAACTGTTTATTTTTGAAACATCAATATTTTATAATTTACAACTACAAAAATGGATAGGAAAAAGACAATTATACACAGTATATACTTCAGCGGATTTTCATATTTTTTAAATTTTTTCTTTATCGATTGCAATCTCCAAATATTACCGTTTTTTTTTCTTTTTTACTGTAATAAGTAAATCTCTAAAAACTGAAAATCTGGCTACTTGTATTCAAAAATTTTTATCTTTCTTGAGCTTAAAATATTATCATCCCTACAAGTTCAATGAAATGTTTGTGTATATCAACCGAAATTTTCCATATATTATTTAGTTTGAAAGAAACTGTCAAAGTGTTAAGAGCTTTCTGCTTACAGTGTCAAGTCCAAGAACAGTAGTGATATTTTTTTCTAGGATATTATATTTTATACTAATATGTCGCGAATCATTTTTGATAACAATGAATTTGAAAAAATTGATGCTGGTGGTAATGGTGATTGTTTTTTTAAGTGTATCGCTCAAGAGATAAATAGCCGAGCTGGTACAGTTTGAGCAAATGTTGTTGAAAATTGGACATCATTTGAAACCTATGCTGAAAATATTTTGGGGGTGAATAGCAAGAATGATTACAAAGTTGAAATGGGAAGATCGGGCACACATGCATCAGTAATAGAGTGCAAGGCAGCCGCAGACTGTTATCGTATTAATATTATTGTCATGAGACTCAATAACGATGGGTCACATTTTAGGATAGATAATAGTATGCCAAATTATGCTGATACAATTTATTTATTACTTACTGGAAATCATAATGATAATATTCGTGATAGTCATTTTCAAATTTTAAAACCTGTCAATAATAATAGCAATAATTATTACATGCGTAATAATGACAATTCTTGTAATTTTGATTTTTGTGAAATTGCTCCAAAATCCGGTAGACCAGCGATACCGGTCGATATTTTTCTCCAAGGGATGATTCGACAAACTATTCATGGATTTTACGCGGAAAAAATGTATCCTTCTTTAGAAATGGTTCATAAAAAATTACAAGAGTGTGAACACATACCCGATTTCAAGTTAACAACACTTAAAACTTGGTGTAAAAAATTAAATTTTTCATATAAAAAATTCAATAAAAAAACCCGTTTGGATGGAAAGTGTATCGGTTGCCGCACAAAGAGACACTTATCTTCGTCAAATAGCGCATTACAGCGAAAATGGTTACAACATTTTTTATACTGACGAATCTTGGTGCGGTGCTAATCATTCTAGAAAATATGGTTGGATCGAAACAATTCAATCAAGTGAAATTAACAATTTTGATAGTGACCGCTGTCGTGTCCAAACTGTTTTCAGTGAAAATGGAGGATTTTTAACTCCTTCAGGATCAGGAAAACGAGTAATAATTTTAGATATTGGTGGAGTCAACGGATTCGTTCCAGGTTGCAGACTTTGTTTTATTGGTAAAAAAGGCTCAGATGATTATCATAATGAAATGAACGCTGAACATTATTTGGAATGGTTTCAAAAAGTATTGCAAGTATTACCGGATAAGTCTGTAATTGTTTTAGATCAGGCACCATATCACAAAATGCTCGATCCTGAATTTCGAAACCCAACCACCGGTTGGCGAAAACAGAAAATTATCGAGTGGCTTGTCAATAGACCAGTACCACTGCCTCAAAACATCAACGAATTCGCCGACTTAACCAAAAATGAATTATTGCAATTAGCGAAACCGTATCGTTATCCTCGTTAATATTAATATAATAATATGTATAATATTATACAGTGAGTACAGCGTCCATATTGTTTATTCTCGAATAATCTTGTTTGAAAATGCATTATTATACCTAGAATGAGGAAGGAGAGCACGCGCTACTTAAGAAAGGGAAGGAGAAGAGGTGCCACAAACCCACGTGCTTTGGTAACAACGTATATTGTACGATATTAAGTACAGTAACTTTACAAAAACTCTTCAATATTTATCTCTCTCTTACTTATTATATTTGGCTAACAAATAGAATTTTAGGCGAAAAACAGCAAGCATTACCTCATCCCCCAAGTGTGACCTTCTTCTATGATGAGGGCAGCAGACGGGCGTAGCGCCCTTGAGAGCGAGTGAGACAGCAATTTAGTTAAATGATTTCAGGTATAGGCAAAAATCGGAAGTGACCAAGTACTATATCAAAATTAACTATAATTACTGGAGTTGCAAATGTACATGAGTCCAAAGTACTATAAATTTTAACTCGGTAGTCAGTTCAGTAGCAACCTCTAACACAGTCGGTTGAGCACTTGAATTTATTCACATTTTCTGAATTTCTTCGTATATATTGTGTTAAAATTAAAACAATCTTTAAAAAAGTGATATAGTTAATAAAAGTGCCAGCATAATGTTTTGCAATAAGGACAGTTCAAATTTATTGACTCTGCCAATTACGGACATCACGGAGATTAAGCTGGGAGTTGCAAGGTATCTTTTGGAGAGAAGATTAATTTGCGTTGATACGCTCATCGACGATAAAAACTTGCCAGTGAATAAACCAACACTTCTTCACGTCGCAATTTGGAATACGGATGAAGAATTATTTCATTACTTGATGAACAAAGGTGCGAATCTCTATAAGAGCTTCGAAACTTATGGAAGCGCTCTCCATGTCGCAGTATACAAGGCGACTTTGAACCTGCGGATCATTGATCGATTGATCCAAGCAGGGGCCCCGATAAACGCACGAGAGTTCTCAAGACAATGGACTCCATTACATCTTGCGTGCAGTTTAGGAAGAGCTGACATAGTCATGCTACTTCTAAGACGTGGAGCTGACATTAATGCAAAAATCAGCAGTGGAAGCCCGGTGCAATTACCTCCTGAGGACACACCTCTTCACGTGGCCATTGAATTTAACCAGGAGGAGATCGTGGAACTTCTTTGCCGGTGCAGGGTTGACGTTAACTTAGCTTCAGTGTACCGAGGAACTCCTCTTCCTTTCGCGGTTGCAGTCGGAAACTTCAAGATCGTGCAGCTGTTAATCAACTACGGCGCGAATATTGATTTCATTTCTACCATCCAAGGATGTGCTGCAAGAAGTTTAATGTTTGGTGCAGAAGAAGTGGTTTCGTTGACTGCATTGCATGTGGCTGTTAATTTACAGAATAAAGAAATGGTGGAAATTCTGTTGATTAATGGAGCAGCCACAGACATATCAGTCGGAACATTTGGAACTCCTCTCTACAGTGCTGTTCAGGGTATCGAGAGTAAAATAGTGCACCATCTCTTGAATGCTGGAGCCGACACTAAATTTCTGCACCACGAGAAAACGGCGATTAAAAATTTTATTCGTAAAAACCATCCGGGTATTACATCTTTAAGCCCGGACATGTCTTCGTTTATTTATTCAGCCCGGTCAAAAAAATATGTTAACCCTATGAATAAGTGAATAATTGTAAGAAATTTTTTTAGTTTTATAACTGTTTTAGATATAGAATTTCATGAAAAATCTTAAATGACTTTAATTTTTCTAATTATTTAAATTGTTATTTATGTTGAATAACGAAAGCTTCTTTATATTTATTGATTGTGATATTTGTATAGAGTTTTGTATTAAAAAAATCATTGTGATGTTGAAAAAACATTATTGTTAATACTCAGGAATTTAATGTAAAAAAATATACTTATTAAATACTTGTGATAAATAGGTTAATGATTCAATAATTTTGTCAAACAAATATAAAGAAGCGGTTCAAATATTGTAAGACCATTACTTTTACATGTTTGTTATAAACAATCTATATTTTATGAATATGATTTTTATAATAAAATAATTTATTATTAAAACTATAAAAATTTGTTCCTCATCGAATTACCTTATATCCTTTAAAATTTTTTTAAGTTCAAGTAATTGAAATACATCAATATAATTTTTTCATAATGATAATACTCAAATTATCAGACATCTGCCAATTTTCTTATTTTTATGACAAAAAATATTTAAAACAATTTTTTGCGCTTGTAGTTTTTTTTCGAGATTTATTACGAAAATAAAAAAAATTGAAAGATTTCTGTTAATTTTACTATATAATATTTTTAATACATTTGTAAAAGGTAAGTTGATTATTTATAGTTTGATAGTTATAATAACTCCGAGTCAAAATTTAAGTCGTAGATTCAACGTATTGAACGTTCAAATCGTACATTCGACGCATTGAACGTTGAAAACGTAAGTTCAACGTATTGGACGTTGAAATCGTAATTTGAACGTAGTGAACGTTAAAAACGTAAGTTGAACGTATTCAACGTATTGTGAGCGTAAATCGATTTTAAATTTTGCTGATGCAGGTGTATTTTACAAATTCATTCCACTGAAGTGAAAATTTTAATTATTAATAAAATTTTAGGTATATTGAAGCTTTATGCATGAAAATCTAACTATAAGTCAGTAAATGAGCTCCTCAAATCTTCAAAATATTTTTGAAATGCAAATGAAAATCAATCTGATAGTTTTTAAAGATCTCAAAATATCGAGATTGAATGAGAATTTGTCTCTCAAAAATCGATCTTAATTTAATAACTTCCTTAATTCCAACTGTAATTTTATTAGTTGATTAAATAAGCAATTAGTTAAAAATTAACTCAATCAAATCTTTGGGAAAAGCTTGTAGCTAAATTTAGCCTATAGGTTATTTTTTACGGATTGGTATATGACATTTTTTTTGTAACTTTTATTGTTTACTACGGATCATATCTTTTTTTTTAAACAGTTGAATCTATATTTTTTGCGTTCAATACGTTCAAATTACGATTTTAACGTCCGATACGTTGAACTTACGATTTCAACGTCCAATACGTTGAACTTACGATTTCAACGTTCAATACTCCGAATTTACGATTTAAACATTCAATACATTGAATCTACGACTTAAGGGGGAACACCACTGTGACGATCGAAAAAAAGAGGTGATTTTCGGGAATTTTTTCGACAGGGAAAATAAAGGAATTTGGGAATCGGGTTTTTTTTATTTTATTAAGGGTACATTAAAGATTATTACCCTAAATTTTTATGAAAAAATATTTAATTATTACAAAGTTATTAACAATCTCGTCGAGCACTGGAGAAAATTTGCCCCCTCCACGGTCGGTTCGATAACTCAAAAACAGATCATCTGAAAATAAAAACCTAAATTGCTTTTTAATCAGTAAGAATGTAGTTATCGTCGCACGTACGGAATTTGGAAAATTTTTGTTTTAAAGATTTTTTTAGCCGGGTTAAAACAAAAAAAAAAACGGTGAGAATAGTGAGAAAATTTTCAATCAGTCGCCATTTTTTAAAAAATTAAAATTTTCAAAATTCCGTTTGTGCGACGATAACTACATCCTTACTGATTAAAAAGCAATTTGAGTTTTTATTTTCAGATGATCCTTTTTTGAGTTATCGAACCGACCATGAAGGGGGAAATTTTTTCTAGTGCTCTACGAGATTGTTAATAACGATTTTAATAATCTCAATAATCTTTAAATGTCTTCTTTAATAATCTTTAATTGTTAATAACGATTGTAATAATCTTTAATGTACCCTTAATTAAATAAAGAATATCTGATCCCCAAATTCCTTTACTTTCCCTGTCAAAAAAATTCCCGAAAATCACCTCTGTTTTTTGATCGTCACAGTGGTGTTCCCCCTTAAATTTCGACTCGGGAGGTCATAATCGATAAATTTTTCAGAAATTCATAAAAAAAAATTTTAAATTACATTTTTCAAAGTTAAAAATTTCTTATGAACTTTTGAAAAATTTTTCATCCCAGTCCGAGCTATCTAATAATTTTTCTCGCATATTCTATACACTCACATTAAGATGATCCTCTCCACAATCCTTTCTCAATCCTTTCCTACCAAAATATCCTGTTACGTAAATGTTGCATTATTTATATTTGTTAAAAAATGTGGAACAATAGGGATAATATAATAAAGGAATAATATAATAAAGGGATATATAAATTATTCTTTTATCAAGAAATTAATCAATTAATTTAAATAATGAATTTCAATATATTCTTGGGTTAAAAATTCTTTGTCTAAAGAATATTTTTTTTACTGTGTATTGAAATAATGCTAATAAAAAGTGAATTTTCAGTAGTTAATTAATTTACGTTTATATAGAAAATTGAATATTTTCGTTTGAAAAATATGTTTTTTGTCAAATTCTCTCAAGTATTCATGAGAATAACTATAAATCTTATATATAAAGTAAGTGAAAGTAAAGATTATTTAGTTTACAACAAAATTTTTTTTGATTTCCGAAAATCATAAACAATCATATCGGTTACGTGGATTTTTTAATTTTTTTATTTTATATCTTTTTGTAAAGAAAAAACTAATTTTTTTTTCTTAATAGTCTTATGAACGTGGACTTGGCGCGATTTTTTTACAGTGAAACTGTTTTTGTTCGGATTTTTAAATTACATTCTATATTATTCATTAAAAATAGAATAATCAGAAAAACATTTATCGATACCTCAATTTTCTTAATCTTCAAAATTTCCGGAGTTTATCAACTCTTTTTTCTCACTGCATTCCAAAATTATTGTAGCACCTTAAAATTATTGATCATACATTGTATGCCATAATTGATAAATTTTTCAAAAATAAAAAAAAAATATTTTTAAATTACATTATGAAAATTTTTTTTTTCATAATTTTCATTTGTTTCATTAATAAAATACTACAAATTTTTACTGTCATTAAAAATTTTTTTATTATTTCAATTTGCAAAATTCAGGAATTTACAACCAAAATAAATAAAATAATTCAATTTTTTGATTTTTTATG